ATAAAGAGAAGACATTATATGGGACAAAGACGATTGCAAAGGCTTCCGTAGACTAAATGCCTTTCGTAGAAGACCTATAGACACCTTCAGATGTCTTTTAAAAATAAAAATTGTGGCAGCTGATTATATTGCTTACAAGCATACAAAAGCGTGTTGGCGAGAAATTTCCAGAAAAAAAGTTATTCGTGATGGAATTCAAGCGTGATAGTGTGATTTCTTTATATTTGGCTGGAAAATCACAAGTGGCTATCGTTAGAGCATGCCAGCGTTTAAATGTGAATAAATATTTTGTGTCTCCCACCATCGCTCGTTACCGTGATACTGGTAGCGTAGCCCGACGTCCAGGAAGTGAACGGAAGAAAACAGCAACATCAGCAGAAATGGTTCGAAAAGTAAAGAAATTACTTGATCCAGGCCCGCGTCGCAGTGGCTGAAAAATGGCTCGTGAGCTGAACATATCGCAATTTGCCATTCGGCAAATATTGAAAAATGAGCTCGGGGTAAAGCCATTGAAATTCAAACAAGTAAAAAAGCTGTAATTTCGGCCGGGCCGAACTTTTAATACCCTCCACCATTTGGAACGAATTTGGCAATTCTCAAAAACAATAAAATCCGTTAAAACTTCTGTTAGAAGTTTAAATACCGAATGTAGATATTATATTAGGGTCTATCTATCTGTTTATAATGTAGCTAAAATCATCAAAATACGGAATATATGGAGGTACCATGGTGGTTATAAAACGTGGATCTGCACACACAGTTTTCTGTCATAGGCTGTAATATCCATTACGAACTTCAAATGCGCAATTTGAAACAATTCCGGCAAATAATGTCGCTAAAATCATCAAAATACCGAATATCGGGAGGTACCGTTATATGGAGGCTATATATGGACATGGACCTATATGGCCCATTTTCTGTCTTAAGCCGTAGCATCTGTTACGAACTTTAAATACTAATTTTGAAACAATTCCGATAAAACATGTCGCTAGAATCAACATAATACCGCATATCGGAAGATACCGTTATATGGGGGCTATTCGAAGACGTGGACCTACATGGCCCATTTTCAATACCAAAAGTCCTGCAGACATATTACACATTTGAGTAAAATTTCATGGGGTCTAAAATGTATATTTCGAGGTCTTACAAACGGAATGACAAACTTAATATACCCTCCATACTATGGTGGAGGCTATAAAAAGTGCAAGAACTTATATCGCAAAAGAAAGAAAATAAACTCAAAAGAGCTAAAGAGTTGCTTCGCTTGACCGTAAGTGGTGAACTGCGAATTTGGTTCTCTTCGATGAGAAAACGTTCGTTGTCCAGTAGTTTGTAAACAAACAAAATGATAGCGCTTGCCAAAGAGAACTTAAGCCTCAATCCGGCCATGGTGATGCTGCGGGCCGCCATAACAGCCGATGGTCGCTCTCCGCTCATATTAATCGACCGTGGCATCAGAATAAATACCGAATATTATCGCGAAAATATTCTGGAGGGTGTAGGCACGCACATGGGCACACAAATATTTTGGCTGCAGACCTTGGACATTCCAATAGGACTCAGCACCATCGCACTCAGCACGCGCCACCCAAGAATGGTTATAAAATGAGGTTCCTCGCTTCATTTCCAGCGCACAATGGCCACCAAAATCTCCGGATACGAATCCTTTGAACTATTGTGTCTGGAGTATTTTGGAAAGCAAGGTTGGCACTAAAAAAAATACCAAAGTGTCGATCACCTCAAGCAAGCGCTTCGCCGGGAATGGACCAAAATACCGCAGAGCAACATTCAGGCAGCGTGTGACGGTTTCATTGGCCGTTTGAAGGCCATAATTCATGGCAAAGATGACCAATTCGAACAAATCTAAACTTTTTTTAAAATTTGATGCTATTTCCGACATTTTTTGCTCTCATTCAATAAAATTTAAAAAATTAAGGGGCTTGACTTTGCTGCAGTTGTTTTATCTCACACTGTATTTCAAAATGTTCTCCCAACTCCCCCCTACATGGGTTAATAGCAATAGTAGCAGATAATTTATCTGCTACTATCTACATTCTGACATTTACGACCGTAGTATTTTTCAATTGCCTCAATAAACGGATTTCATTCGCATATAAAAAAAATTAGAAATGTTTACAAATATTTGCACGTTTATTTTGAATGGGCAGGGCAGACATTTCTGATTTTGTGCAGAGTCATGAAAAACAAAAAAAAAAAAAAATGTGAAAATAGTTTGTTTGTTTGATATGACCACTTATATTTCACATGTGAATGACGGGGCGAATAACAAAGATAGACCTCCTGAGGAGGGAATTTTATTCAACAAATTACATAATAGCATTTTTTGTAAGAAATCGGATGAAAGGCAGTAAACTTGGAGAGTTAATAGAGATAAGGAAATATAGTCTATTTTAGTCGATTTTAGAAATCAAATTTTAATTTGATAACATACATAGTTGCCTATAACTCGGATTGAGAATACAATGTATTTAAATGTCGTTTATTGAACGGAATGCTTTTTCATGTCCTTCCGGAATGCTTTTTCATGTCCTTCCATAATGTATACTTCTGGCAGAAAAACTTTTAAAGTTTGGCAATTGACAGAGGACCTTTAAATCTTATGGTATTCTAAAATCAACCCTCTTAGCAGATTTGTATAGAAAGTAGAAACCGTACTTAGAATCGTAGGTAAGTCTCCTATAGAAAGAAGATATTATAGAGGATGAAGACATTTTGAGGTCATCCAAAGGCTGAATGCCTTAGGTAATTATTCTAAATAGAATATCTTCAGAAGAAGTCTATAAAAGATCTCCTCTTCTATGAACGTATGCAATATACACAGAAAATCATTAAAAGCTCTCATGTGGAGAAAATGTCTTTGAAAGCTTTTTTATTGATCTTTAATAGCTCTTCTATAAACATTAGGCATTAAACAGCTTTCCTGTGGACATAACATAAAATATTTAGAATCTATTTTTAAATGCTCTTCTTTGGAAGAAACCCTTTAAAAGCTCTTCTACAGATCGAAGATCTTTAAAGGCTCTTCTATAAACATTTTCTATGTCTTCTGTATACAGATGATCAGTAAAGACTCTTCTATAGCTATAATATATTTAAAAGCTTTTGTTATAGGCAGAAAACCTTCAAAGACTCTTCTTCAGATAGAAGATATTCATAATATCTTCTGAAAATATAAAACATTTTAAATTTGGTTTATAAGTAGACGACGTTTAAATGCCCTGCAATAAACAGAAGAGCTTTAAAAGCTCTTTTATAGATATTTGATAAATAAATGCTCTTTTATTCACAAAATGCCTGTCAGGGGGACGTAGATAGACAGAAAACCATAAAAACCCCTTCTTCTTATGTCTTCAAGAGACATAATACCTTTCAAAGCTCATCTGTAGACTGAAAACTCTTAGAAGATACCTAAAAGCTTTTCCATAGACATGGGACTTTCAAAATCTTATCTATAGACATAAGATATTTAAAAGCTGTATTATTGACAGAAGATTTTCTATAGAAAAAGAGTTTAAAGCTCTTTTCTATTGACAAACTTTATCCACAGCCAGAATGCACGTAAAAGCTCTTCTATATACAAAACAACGAAAAAAGCTCTTCCATACACAGACGACCTTCAGAGCTTTTCTTTACACAGAAAACTTCTAAGAGCCCTTAAAAGCTCGTGTATAAAAGAAGACCTTTAAAAGCTCTTCTATAAAAATAAGATCAGTTCTCCTATTAACAGAAGATCATCAACACCTCTTTTCATATGCAGGTCTTCTTTAAAAAGGTATGCTTTTTATACCCTCCACCATAGTATGGAGGGTATATTAAGTTTGTCATTCCGTTTGTAACACCTCGAAATACACATTTTAGATCCCACAAAGTATATTTATTCTTGATCAGCATAAAATTCTATGTCGATTTAGCGATGCCCGTCCGTCTGTCCGCCTTTGTAAATCACCCTAGCTTCCGAACAAATTGAAGTATATTGATAAAATTTTGCTCAAATGTATATTATGTCTGCAGGACTTTTGGTATTGAAAATGGGCCATGTAGGACCACGGTTTGTTATAGCCCCCATATAACGATACCTCCCGATATTCGGTGTTTTGATGATCTTAGCAACATTATTAACCGAAATAGTTTCACATTTGATATTTGAAGTTCGTAATGGATACTACAGCCTAAGACAGAAAATTGTCTGTACAGGTCCACGTCTTCGCATAGCCCCCATATAACGTTACATCCCGATATTTGATATTTTGATTTTATCGACATTATAACCGATATTTTTTAAGTTTCGCATTTGAATATTTTAATGGCTCATGACAAATGTTACCTACACAGGTTCATGTCGTCGTATAGACCCTAATATAATAGCTAAATTCGGCATTTTTAATATTTTAACAGAATTTTTAACGGATTTTATTGTTTTTGAGAATTGCCAAATTTGTTCCAAATGGTGGAGGGTATTCAAAGTTCGTCCCGGCCAAATTTACAGCTTTTTTACTTTTTAATGCTCATATATCGAAGCTGGACATTTAAGAGGTATTTTAAGGAGGCAGATGCTCTTTGGAAGATATTCTTCAGATGTTTTCTATACCCTCCACCATTCTAAGAAGGGTTTATTAACTTTGTCATTCTGTTTATAACTCCTCGAAATACTCGTGATGTACCCTACAAAGTAAATATATTGTGGATCTAAGTCGATGTAGCGATCTCTGTCTTTCTGCCCGCCTGTCTGTATATCGGATATATAACACCCTCCATATTACAATTATTGGTATTTTGAAGGTCCCAGCCACATTTTCTAACTGCATTTTTCACTATTTTAAATGTTCTGGAGCTATGCTTGAAGAAACCCAAAATATTTGGAATTTTGAAGTAGATCGATTTGTCTATAACTAATTTATTTATTAATTTAAGTTTCGTCATGGTGGAGGAATAAAAAGTTGTGCCCAGTCATAATCAATTCAATATTTCACTTTTTTTAATTAACTAATTTTCAATTTATTTTTTCTTTAATAACTTGTTGACTTAAAACTATTTTCAATAACTTAGAGGCTAATATAACCAGTCCCACCACAAAACCAACCGCCACAACTATTAAAACTCCCACCGTGTCGATGCTGTGTTTCTGTAGAAAATTCATTTTCTGGGCCTGGTTTTGTAAATGCCTCGCCCCGTTGTGTCTTAGAACATATTCCGTCCAAAATATTGCCAAGTCCAGAGGCTTCATCGGTTGATCATGATATATGCGAGATGTTTCTTGGGCTTTTTGGAAATATTTGGCATTGCTCATCATTTCCCAAATGCTCGCCTCAAATTGTTCTCCGGATAAGCTGTAAAAATCTAGAGACAAAGCAAATCCCGCTTCCTTGGCTCGATTGATGTTCTTCATTTGATCGTAAAATACTGGTATGCCCAAAATGGGTTTGCCATGATATACAGCCTCGGAGGTGCTCAAAAGGCCACCATGTGATATAAAGAGTTTGACCCGAGGATGGGCCAAAATGTCGGGTTGTGGAAACCAGGGTTTAATGAAGACATTATCGGGTTTACCCGGCAATTGATCGGTTTCAAATTTCCACAAAATTTTGTAGGGCAGCTTTTTGAAAATATTTATGATCATTTGCAGACGTTCGGGTGGGAAATCTTTAGATTTCACATTTGAACCCATGGAGAAGTAGATTACATCTGCTGTGGAGGAGTTAATGAATTTCTCTATATCCCGTGGCAATGATTGGGGTTTGTGATACAGCTGCAGGCCACCCACCTCCACCATGTTGGGTACATATGGCCGGGGAAAGCTCAGCGAGAAATGTTGGTTGAGTAGAATCACAGAGAAATTTGTTCTCAACTCCCAGATATCTTCTTTGATGTGAGGCATATATTTGGCCAGTAACTCCCGGTGCCGTGGAATGTGGATCCATCGTATGTGGATCAAATCAAGTAGTTGATAAATTACGTTATGTATCCTCTGCAGGTAGGTCATGCGATCCGTATAGCCAATTGTCACCAAAGGGGTATAGGAAAAGGGTGACATATTTCCAATAAGCTCATCGATTACAGGATCTGTCCCGAAGGAAGATAGGCCAATCAGGGGGACATTAAAATGTCTGGCAAAGCTGTAGAGGGCATCGGTATAGACCGACTCCAAAATAACCAAATCGAAATGTTCATATTTCAGTAAATTCTGGACTTGTTCGTTTTTCATGACCCTTTCGACCAGGCGAGTCATATAATTCGATATAAATGACATTTCTTCCCATTTGCCAAGGTTCTGCTGGAATTCGGCAAGCATTACTGGAAAAAAATAAAATAAAATTTAATGAAAATACTTTTCGCAACTTCTATATTCGCTTCATAAGTGGCATAGATCAAGATACGAATTTATTGAGTTTTCACTCGAAAATTTCAGTCGAAATTTGCCCTGTTCCAGAACCTGAAGGAAAAAAGGTTTGTATTTTTTCGATATTATAAAGGGAAAATCGGTTATCGAAGTAAAATGTTTTACATTCCTGCAGTTCTGGAACAAAGCAAATTGTTGATATCTTGAATACTTTTTACACTCAGGACAAAAATTCTGAATTTTTAATAAAATTATACTTTTTTAACTATGTCCTCTTTTATTAGGTTAGGGATAAAAAAATAAACAAAAAATACCACACGAAATAAAAAATCCGAAAAATCCATTTTATTATCCTGTAGCCCAAAATTGTACTCCAAAGCTATTAAAACACTTGATCATACCTTCATAATCGTCATGCACCTCCATCACCGCCACATCGCGAAAATTTGTCACATTTTCCTTTTGCGGAAAGCCACTTATCGAAGTGACCTGATGTCCTCGTGCTGCCAACATTTTCAAATAAGGCTGCACCAAAATATAATGCGAAGGACTTGGTATAGGAAATATAGCCAAAATCCGCACACCATCCACCATGGGCCATAGGAGGAGTAGATTTATCAGAAATTTGTAACCCATTTTGCAAAACACGTTTGCGGAACAACTAATTATTTTCTCACGACATTTGTAGTATTTATAAACGCTGATTTATTCCCAGAGAATTCTCGTTGTGCTGATTGTAATCAAATCTAAATAGAATTGTACAAACATCTTATCTAAGTTATATGGGGGGGGTGGGCAGTGCTGCCCTTAACAAGAAATTGGTTAAAATGTCTGGTGACTGTTTTTTTTTTATTTTATGGCAGCGCAGAATCAGTATTTGTAGTAGTTGGAATGATTTGCAAAATATTGAAGACGCAACAAACGTGAGATGCACTGACGGCCACAAAAATCTGTCAAGGGTAAACAAACGTTATTAAGGTGTATTCAATTATTAATAAATTTTAGGAACTGACACACTCAAGTAATTACATCAAATAAAATTTTAGCACCTGAAAGCACCTAAGTATGAAGCAAATATAAGCATGTCCAAAATTTCGAACAAACTTTGATTTTTATACCCTCCACCATGGTATGGAGGGTATATTAAGTTTGTCATTCCGTTGGTAAGACCTCAAAATATACATATTAGACCCAACAAAGTATATATATTCTTGATCAGCAATAAAATTCTATGTCGCTTTAACGATGTCCGTCCGTCTGTGGAAATCACTCTAGCTTCCGAACGAAATGAAGTAAGTTGATAAAAAATTACTCAAATATGTTTCATGTCTGCAGGACTTTTGGTATTGAAAATGGGCCATGTAGGTCAACGCCTTCCTATAGCCCCCACATAAGGGTACCTCCCGATATTCGGTATTTTGATGATTTTAGCGACATTATGTACCGGAATTGTTTCAAAATTGATATTTGAAATTCGTAACGGATACTACAGCCTAGGACAGAAAATTGTCTGTGCATGTCCACGTCTTTGTATAGCCCCCATATAAGGGTACATCCCGATATTCGGTATTTTGATGATTTTAGCGAAATTATTCACCGAAATTGTTTCAAACTTGGTATTTGAAATTCGTAACGGATACTACAGCCTTAGACAGAAAACTGTCTGTGCAGGTCCACGTCTTTGTATAGCCCCCATATAAGGGTACCTCCCGATATTCGGTATTTTGATGATTTTAGCGACATTACTCACCGAAATTGTTTCAAGTTTGGTATTTGAAATTCGTAACGGATACTACTGCCTAGGACAGAAAATTGTCTGTGCAGGTCCACGTCTTTGTATAGCCCCCATATAAGGGTACCTCCCGATATTCGGTATTTTGATGATTTTAGCGACATTACTCACCGAAATTGTTTCAAATTTGGTATTTGAAATTCGTAACGGATACTACAGCCTAAGACAGAAAATGGGCCATGTAGGTCCACGTCTTCGTATAGCCCCCATATAACCCGATATTCTGTATTTTGATGATTTTAGCGACATTATGCCAGAAAATTGTCTGTGCAGGTCCACGTTTTATAACCCCCATGGTACCTCCCTATATTCGGTATTTAGATGATTTTATTTTTTTTTAAGATTTTAACAGAATTTTTGATGGATTTAATTTTTTTGAAAATTGCCAAATCTGTACCAAATGATGGAGGGTATTCAAAGTTCGCCTCGAACGAATTTACAGCTTTTTTACTTGTTTTAATGATTTTTGCGACATTATTCACCGCAATTATTTCAAATTTCGTACTTGAAGTTCGTAATGGGTACTACATGGTGCAAAATTGCCTTTTGCAGGCTCACGTCTTCGTATAGCCCCTATATAACGGCAGCCCCCGATATTCCGTATTTTGATGATTTTAGAGACGTTATTTATCGAAATTGTTTTAAATTTCGTATTTATAGCTGCTTACGACCGGAAAATGTCCTTCCAAATGATGGAGGGTACTAAAAGTTCGGCACGTCGAACTTAGCTGTATGTGAACTTGTTCTAAACTTATTCCAGGAAATGGGCATGGATCATGAGAGGAATCTCCTCATAATGGGTCAAAACTTTCCTCCTATGTAGAGGGAAAAAGAGACATACCGGTCATCTCCTGTTGCTCCCACCCCACAAAAAAGGTACAATTTCAAAATTTATTTGAAATTTCGGGCACCGTTTCAGAATTGTACTAAAATTTTTTTTCATGTAATTGTTCCGAAAAGTTATTAATATATATGAATTTACCTTAATATCGTTAGTTTACCTTTGACAGGCTTTAGTAGCCGTCAGTGCATTTCACATTTGTAGTGTATTCAATATTTTGCAAATCATTCCAACTACTACAAATACTGATTCTTCGCTGCCATAAAAAACCTCACCAGACATTTTAACTAATTTCTAATTTTAATTTTAACTAATTTGCCCACACCCCGTATAACTTAGATCGAAGCAAACAAACTATTTTATTTTACTTTTATATTTTCAACAATGAATTCCACTATGTACATATTTAACTTTAATTACGTCACGTTTTAATTGATCTTTGGAAGTATTTGAATTCAACGATTAAAATGCAACCATGAAAATAGTACAATAAATTTACATCTCTGATCGGTACTACCTTTTTAAGCTACCGTAGTCTTAAGCAGAGAAAATGTGTATAAAAGGAGAATGATTTTTCAGTCAACCATGCTCAAAACTAAAAATGCGTGTGAATTGGTGCGAGAGAGTGAACGTCCACTCAGAGAAATTTCAGTTAGCATTCATGAGTTATTGGCGCTAACTGATGCATAATGCTATTATTATTATTATAACTAATATTATTATTATTATTATTATTGTTATTATTATTATATTATTATTATTATTATTATTATTATTATTATTATTATTATTATTATTATTATTATTATTATTATTATTATTATTATTATTATTATTATTATTATTATTATTATTATTATTATTATTATTATTATTATTATTATTATTATTATTATTATTATTATTATTATTATTATTATTATTATTATTATTATTATTATTATTATTATTATTATTATTATTATTATTATTATTATTATTTATTATTATTATTATTATTTTATTATTATTATTATTATTATTATTATTATTATTATTATTATTATTATTATTACTATTATTATTATTATTATTATTATTATTATTATTATTATTAGTATTATTATTATTATTATTATTATTATTATTATTATTATTATTATTATTATTATTATTATTATTATTATTATTATTATTATTATTATTATTATTATTATTATTATTATTATTATTATTATTATTATTATTATTATTATTATTATTATTATTATTATTATTATTATTATTATTATTATTATTATTATATTATTATTATTATTATTATTATTATTATTATTATTATTATTATTATTATTATTATTATTATTATTATTATTATTATTATTATTATTATTATTATTATTATTATTATTATTATTATTATTATTATTATTATTATTATTATTATTATTATTATTATTATTATTATTATTATTATTATTATTATTATTATTATTATTATTATTATTATTATTATTATTATTATTATTATTATTATATTATTATTATTATTATTATTATTATTATTATTATTATTATTATTATTATTATTATTATTATTATTATTATTATTATTATTATTATTATTATTATTATTATTATTATTATTATTATTATTATTATTATTATTATTATTATTATTATTACAGTGTATGAGCAGTTTATAGGGGGAAATGTTCTGTTTTGTATAAATTCAAATATATAAATTAAACTTCAATTCAACTAAAAAAACATAAATTAAAAATAAAAAAAAAACGCAAAAAACAATTCAATGGCTAATTTAAAAATAATCGTTATAAAAGTAGTTCAAATACAAATGGGGATTTAAGGCTTTTGAAGCAAGGAACATATTACCGCATAATAAAACAAGTAAGCAAAGGCTATAGTCGTCCGAGGCCGACCATATGATACCCTACAACACTACAATATGTTGGAAACTCCCTTATGTCCAAATTCATTTTGGAAGATTTCGTATGAAACTTGGAATTATGTCCAGATATTATCTTTAGCTTTCTGACCAGGGACATTTGGCCAATATTTACGTCGTGCTGTAAGTTGCTGCGGTCAATTTTATAGCTTCATATAATCCAAGGGTCATCCAAAATGCTAGAATTCTTCCCCGTACTTAACTCTCTTCTCAGGCGTGTCGATTGGCTTCAATTGTGTCTGAGCTGATTTCGTGTCCTTTGATTTCTATTTGTGACCTTTATAACGGCTGCAAAATCAGAAAAATTTTTAGTTGTTGGTCCATTTCAACCCCCTAATATATTGCGGACATCTTTGAAAACAATAGGCCTAGCCATTCTGAGCCCAACCCTACCCTTGTGAAACTTTCGTGAGGATCTAGCGATAATTGCAATCTGTATATAAATAATAACCCCAACCTGTGTTGTAAGGTGAAAAATATTACAAAAACCAGTAAAGAAAGTCTTAAAGTCGAGCGGTGCCGATTTTATGATACCCTACACCACTTTGCTAATTTAGTAGAGCTGCGCATAACAATTAAAAGTTTTTATGGGAGAATTCAATCATACACGCTATGATTATAATTATAATTTAAAATTCAAAGGACTAAATATGCCGAAGCATTTGTATCTTTTAAATTCGGAATTGTATTGCCCATTTGGTGCACAATTAATTTGCAATCGGATAAAAATATATATGGGAGCTGTATCCAAATCGGAACCGATCTCGATAAAATTTGGCAAAGATATTACTGAGCTGTATTTGATATATTTCCTGAATATCGTTGTTACGGAGTGCATATTACGGCTGTGGGTAACAAATATAACAAATCGGATGACCAGTCTATATGGGAGCTATAGCTATATCTGAACTGATCTTCACCAAATTTGGCATACTAGCTTCTAGACTCAATTCGGTCGTAAGTGCCAAAATTTCAGCCCATTTGGGCAAATATTAGACGTTTGGTGCACAATCAAAGCTAAATCGGGCGAAATTATATATGGGAGCTATATCAAAATCTGAACCGATCTCGATAAAATTTAGCAAATGTATTTCTGAGCCGTATTTGATATATTTCCCCAAATATTGTTGTTACAGGGTGAATATTACGGCTGCGGAGGACAAAAATAACAAATTTTGAAGCAAGGAACATATTACCGCATAATAAAACAAGTAAGCAAAGGCTATAGTCGTCCGAGGCCGACCATATGATACCCTACAACACTACAATATGTTGGAAACTCCCTTATGTCCAAATTCATTTTGGAAGATTTCGTATGAAACTTGGAATTATGTCCAGATATTATCTTTAGCTTTCTGACCAGGGACATTTGGCCAATATTTACGTCGTGCTGTAAGTTGCTGCGGTCAATTTTATAGCTTCATATAATCCAAGGGTCATCCAAAATGCTAGAATTCTTCCCCGTACTTAACTCTCTTCTCAGGCGTGTCGATTGGCTTCAATTGTGTCTGAGCTGATTTCGTGTCCTTTGATTTCTATTTGTGACCTTTATAACGGCTGCAAAATCAGAAAAATTTTTAGTTGTTGGTCCATTTCAACCCCCTAATATATTGCGGACATCTTTGAAAACAATAGGCCTAGCCATTCTGAGCCCAACCCTACCCTTGTGAAACTTTCGTGAGGATCTAGCGATAATTGCAATCTGTATATAAATAATAACCCCAACCTGTGTTGTAAGGTGAAAAATATTACAAAAACCAGTAAAGAAAGTCTTAAAGTCGAGCGGTGCCGATTTTATGATACCCTACACCACTTTGCTAATTTAGTAGAGCTGCGCATAACAATTAAAAGTTTTTATGGGAGAATTCAATCATACACGCTATGATTATAATTATAATTTAAAATTCAAAGGACTAAATATGCCGAAGCATTTGTATCTTTTAAATTCGGAATTGTATTGCCCATTTGGTGCACAATTAATTTGCAATCGGATAAAAATATATATGGGAGCTGTATCCAAATCGGAACCGATCTCGATAAAATTTGGCAAAGATATTACTGAGCTGTATTTGATATATTTCCTGAATATCGTTGTTACGGAGTGCATATTACGGCTGTGGGTAACAAATATAACAAATCGGATGACCAGTCTATATGGGAGCTATAGCTATATCTGAACTGATCTTCACCAAATTTGGCATACTAGCTTCTAGACTCAATTCGGTCGTAAGTGCCAAAATTTCAGCCCATTTGGGCAAATATTAGACGTTTGGTGCACAATCAAAGCTAAATCGGGCGAAATTATATATGGGAGCTATATCAAAATCTGAACCGATCTCGATAAAATTTAGCAAATGTATTTCTGAGCCGTATTTGATATATTTCCCCAAATATTGTTGTTACAGGGTGAATATTACGGCTGCGGAGGACAAAAATAACAAATCGGATGAACAATATATATGGGAGATATAGCTATATTTGAACCGATTTCGATCAAATTTGACATACTTATTTTCAGGTCCAATCTGATCGTACGTGCGAAATTCCATACTATTCGGACTGATATTACACGTTTGGTGCACAATAAAAGGCAAATCGGACGAAGATATATATAGGAGCTATATCTAAATTTTGACCGATTATCTCCAATTTCAATAGGGTTCGTCCTTGGGCCAAACAAATGATTTGTGCAAAATTTCATCTAAATAGGGCAATAAATGCGAACTGTACTTTGTTTACAAAAATAAATGGACAGACGGACGGACGGACATGCATAAATCGACTCAGAATGTGATTCTATGCAGATCATCAAAATGAACTATGGGTCTATCTCGTTTCCTTCTGCCTGTTACAAACAAATGCACAAAGACATAATACCCTGACCACCTTGTGGTGTAGGGTATAAACATGGCATACCTTCGGGCATACATTTTGTTATGTAATGTTATTTCATGGTTGCCAGATCAACAAACCAAAATGCCGGACAAAAAATTCAAATTCCTTATCTGAAGTTCCTAATGCGTAACACTGTCTGCGACAGAACAAGTAAAACAGCTGTAAGTTAGGCCGGGACGAACTTTCAATACCCTCCACCATTTGGAACGAATTTGGCAATTTTCACAAAAAAATTTAAATCCGTTAAAAATTCTGTTAAAATCTTAAAAATACCAAATGTAGCCGCAATATTAGGGTCTAAACAGCAAGATGGACCTGCACAGCTGAAATACCAAATTTGAAACAATTCCGGTAAATAATGTCGCTAACATCATTAAAATACCTAATCTCGGGAGGTACCGTTATATGGGGGTATACGAAGACGTGGATCTGCACAGACAATTTTCTGTCATATGTTGTAGTATCCATTACGAACATCAAATACCAAAATTGAAACAATTCCGGTGAATAATGTCGCTAACATCAATAAAATGCCGAATATCGGGAGATACCGTTATATGGGGGCTATACGAAGTCGTGGGCCTTCACAGACAATTTTCTATCTTATGCTGAAATACCAAATTTGAAACAATTCCGGTAAATAATGTTGCTAACATCATTAAAATACCGAATATTGGGAGGTACCGTTATATGGGGGCTATACGAAGTCGTGGGCCTGCACAGACAATATCCTGTCATATGTTGTAGTATCCATTACGAACATCAAATACCAAAATTGAAACAATTCCGGTAAATAATGTCGCTATCTGATGAGAATTGGTGGCTTTTTCCGAAACCTAGGTATTCCCTGCCTTACCCCCTGGTAAACATTACCATCGTTCTCCACTAATAAACAAACGTTGTTTTTTATTATAAAAACAACAATAAAGGGATTAAGCCTGACCATTTTGCAAAACTAATCAAGGGTCTAAAATGTATATTTCGAGATGTTACAAACGCAATGACAAACTTAATATACCCTCCATACTATGGCGGAGGGTATAAAAAATGATCAAATAATGATTGTATGTACAGGGTTGCCCATATTCGACGGACCCATCTGGCAACGCCATAACTTTTGACAGAGATGTCACATCGCTTATTGACATACCGCGTTTGAAGCGTCAGTCCAAGCTGATTTTTACCATGAACCAATACACGCCACAAGAGCGGTCTGAAATAGTTGAAATTTACATTCAACAGAAGAAGTAAATTGTGAAAAAAAATGTAAGAAGTGCGCCTTCTAAGAACACCATTAGGCATTTATACGAAAAATTTTCGACTGGTAAGGCTCTTTCTAATCCGAAGAGGCCATATAAAAGTCGACTAAGGCGATCGGCCGACAATATCGCTGCCGTACGAGCCAGTGTTGAGAGGTCCCCAAGAACATCCCAAAAACCCCGTTCTCAGCAATTGGGCATGGCTCGGTCCACTTTACAACGGATTATTCGCATTGATTTCCATTTGTTCGCGTACAAAATTCAATTGACGCAAAGAATATTGCCTGCGGACAAGCCTCGTCGATTGGAATGGGCCCAAAGGTCCGTCGAATATGGGCAACCCTGTATATCTGTCGGTGAAAGGACTGATATTTATATATTCGTTCATTTAATAGTTTAATTATTGATTAGGTCATTGTAACTTTCATCGTCACTTATTCTATATCCCACACAATTACGATCTTTTTATTCAGGCAGAGTAATTAATTATATCAACTGAATAAAGTAATGAACATCTAATGTTTTTTAGCTACATTGTTATTTGTTTTAGCTTACATTGTTTTTCATGCTTCGTTTGTCTCTATTCAAATGCCTTGCCAGTTTATAAATTTATAGTCCAATTTAAGCATTTCGAGAATACCACTTCACTTGATCCGCAATATCCATACGCAAGATTTTTAGTTCTCTAAAAACTATACCTAAATTCAAAAACGTCCACTTTGTATCAAATTATTACGCAGCGGCAGCACTGAACCAAACAAAATCATGCTTTCATTTATCTTTGTTTTGTTTATGAGTGAGAGAGGCGTGCAATTATATATCTCATTCTCTTCGATGGTCGTCGGTAGAGTGACGTTATCAAAGTCAAGGTTTATGCAGCAGCACAGTGTCGTGATATCAACAAACTACGATCGATGAACGCAAACGAGCCCACAACGAAACGAACATTGATGTTATTGTTGTGCGAAAAACAAAAACAAACACACCCTGAATAATTAAATGGAATGAACAATGAACTCAATTGAGCATAAAAATACTTCTCCTCTCTCTCTCTCTCGCACACACTCTATGCGATTAATGACTGCAAATGATGGCATTTTAAGTGGAAACTCTCTGTCAAAATCTAATCAATTTTAGTTTGTTAGCCATTAGTTGTTTGGCCACCTAAGATTAGGAAAGTATTGCGCATAAAGTTATGAATTTTTGGAAATGTTTGAAATTGTTTGTTCTGCTATTGGTGGTGAATGGAGTATCGCTGGCTGAGAGTGCCAAAATATTGGCTATATTTCCATTTCCGGGTCCCTCACAGTATTTGGTGGTCCAGCCTTATTTGAAAACCTTGGCTGGCCGGGGACATGAGGTAACCGTTATTAATGCCTTCCCCCAAAAAAAGCCCATTGACAACTATCGAGACATTGAGGTGCCAGAGGTGATGAAATATGTTGGAGGTAAGTAAAAAAACTTTGAATAAAACATTTTTACCCTCCACCATGAAATGAAGGGTACTTCCCGATATTCGGTATTTTGATGATTTTAGCGACATTATTCATCGAAATAGTTTCAAATTTGGTATTTGAAGTTCGTAATGGATGCTGCAGCCTATGACCGAAAATTGTCTGTGTAGGTCCTGGTCTTCACAAAGGCCTCATATATCAGTAATTCCATATATCCGGTATTTTGAGGTACAATATTTTCCGAAATTGTTTGAAATTTCGTATTTGAAATTCCTAATGGGTACTACAGCCGGTAAAAAATTGTTTATGCAGGTCCACGTCTGTGTATAGAACCCAATATAACGGCTATATTCGGAATTTTTAAGATATTAACAGAATTTATTTTTTTGAAAATTTCCAAATGGTGTAGGGTAGTCAAAGTTCGGCCAGGCCGAACTCATTGCCTTCTTACTTGTTTAATGGGCTATATGGGTCCACGTTTAGGTATAGCCCTGATTTTCGATATTTTGAAGGTATCTGCCACAATTTCCAACCAAATTAGGTGTTACTTAATAATTGGGGTTCTCGATGGGTCTGTTCCCTCCTTGCAAAATATGTTTGATTCGGGTCCACTAATTAGTATAGCCCCCCACATTACGGTACCTCCCGATTTTCGGTGTTTTGAAGGTTTCTGCCACAATTTCTATGGGTTACGCTATTTGTTTTATTTTTTATTTTTTTTTTAATTCTACTTTGATATGCATAGTGGTGGAGGGTATTAAAAGTTCGACCGGGTCGAAATTAAAGCCCGTTTTACTTGTCTCGATTTTAATTTTCATTCCAATTTTAAGAAACATTTTTCATTTCCAAAAATTTCATTGCAGATCTATTCAGCTATGCCGATCTACGCATGAACAAACTCAAAGAAGTTTTGGGATATTCCTGGTATTACAGCTCCATTGTGCGCGATGTAATGGGAAATGCCAACGTCCAAAAGCTTCTCCAGTCCGAAGAGGAACATTTTGAGATGGTCATTGTGGAGACCTTGCAAACGGATGTTTTCTATGGTTTTGCCCAGCATTTTAATGCCTCCCTCATTGGATTCTCTTCGTATGGCACCGATCCTTATATTGACTCGTTGGTGGACAATATTTCCCCACTGGCCTATAATCCCCTGTTCAGTGGCAATTCCATGGAACGCATGGACTTTTGGCAGAGATTGGAAAATATGTGGCATAATCTGATAATGCTGTGTCACAGGGTCTTGATACATAACCCATTGCATGATGGCTTATATCGGGAATATTTCCCCCATGCCCGGAAATCATTGGAGGACATGAGACAAAATATCTCCCTGATATTGTTGAATCAACATTATAGCCTGAGTTTTCCCAGGCCATATGTAACCAATATGATTGAGGTGGGTGGTTTCCACCTGCAGCCTAAACCCCAACCACTGCCAAAGGATATTGAAGAATTTATTGGCAACTCCGAGCAGGATGTCATCTATTTCTCCATGGGCTCCAACATACGAAGTGAACATTTTCCCGAACCCATTCGCAAGGTGATTCTGGAAACCTTCGCCCAGCTGCCCTACAAAATATTATGGAAATTTGAAAATCCCGCATTGATGGCCAATAAACCCTCCAATGTTTTCATTAGCAAATGGTTTCCCCAGGGTGATATCTTGAATCATCCCAAAGTGAAACTTTTCATAAGTCATGGCGGCCTGCTAAGTCTAACCGAATCAATTTATTATGGCAAACCTATTTTGGGCATGCCCATATTTTTCGATCAACATCGCAACATTCAAAGGGCCAAGCAGTATGGATTTGCCCTGTTCCTTGACTATGCCACACTGAATGTTACGGGGTTCACAGCAAGTATTAGGGAGCTCATGGAAAACCCGCAATATCTGCAGAGGGCCCAAGACATATCTCGACGTTATCGCGACCAACCCATTGATCCCATGGAAAAGGCCATTTACTGGACGGAATTTGTGTTGAGACATCACGGAGCCCCCTTCCTGAGATCACCAGCCCAGTATTTGAATTTTTGGCAAAAACATAGCTGGGATACTGCCGGATTTTTATTGGCCTGCGTGTTTGTGGGATTATTCGGAAGTGTCTTTGTGTTTGTAAAGTTATTGAGAATTATTTCGCATTTGAAAAAAATGTTGTTAAAAGGAAAACCTAAAAGTGATTAAGTGATGCTAGTATTTTTATACCCTCCACCATACATAGTGTGGAGGATATAGTAAGTTCGTCATTCCTTTTGTAACTCGTCGAAATAATAATTTTAGACCTAACATAATATATATATATATTTTTTTTTTTTTGATCAGCGTAAAATTCTAACATGATTTAGCCCTGTCCATTCGTCCGTAGGCCCCTCCGTCTGTATATCCCCCATATAACTGCACCTCCCGATATTCGGTATTTTGATGATTTTAGCCACATTTTTCAATGGTATTGTCTGAAATTCTACACACGGAGTTCTTCGCGACTAGTTTACCCCCTGGAAGAGAAGTGTCCATATAGGTGCAGGTCTTCGTACACCCCCCATATAACGGTACCTCCCGATATTCGGTATTTTGATAATTTTAGCGACATTATTCACCGGAATTGCTTCAAATTTTGTATTTGAAATTCGTAATGGATACTACAACCCATGACGGAAAATTGTCTGTGCAGGTCCCCATCTTCGTATAGCCCCCATATAACGGTACCTATCGATATTCGGTATTTTGATTATTTTAACCAAATTTTTCAATATAATTGTCTTAAAATCCACAAAAGGAGTTCCCTCTGAGTACTTTACCCCCTGGAAGAGAATTGTCCATATAGGTCCAGGTCTTCGTGCACCCCCATATAACGATACCTCCCGATATTCGGTATTTCAATGATTTTAGCGACATTATTTAACGGAATTGTTTCAAATTTGGTATATGAGGTTCATAACGGATGTTACAGCCTAAGACAGAAAATTGTTTGTGCAGGTCTACGTCCTCGTATAGCCCCCATATAACGTTAGCTCCCGATATTCGGTATTTTGATGATTTTAGCGACATTATTAAGCGGAATTGTTTCAAATTTCGTATTTGAAGTTCGTAATGGGTACTACAACCCATGACGGAAAATTGTCTGTGCAGGTCCCCATCTTCGTATAGCCCCCATATAACGTTACCTCCAGATATTCAGTATTTGGATGATTTTAGCCACATTTTTCAATCGAATAGTCTCCAAATCCACAAAAGGAGTTCCCTCTGAGTACTTTACCCCCTGGAAGAGAAATGTCCATATAGGTCCACGTCTTCGTATAGCCCCCATATAACGATACCTCCCGATATTCGGTATATTGATAATTTTAGCGACATTATTCACCGGAATTGTTTCAAATTTGGTATTTGAAGTTCGTAATGGCCACTACAACCTATGAAGGAAAATTGTCTGTGCAGGTCCACGTCTTTGTATAGCCCCCATATAACGTTACCTCCCGATATTCAGTATTTTAATGATTTTAGCCACATTTTTCAGCGGAATTGTTTCAAATTTTGCATTTGAAGTTCGTAATGGATATTAAAGCCTATGACAGAAAATTGTCTGTGCAGGTCTACGTCTTCGTATAGCGCCCATATAACGATACCTCCCGATATTCGGTATTTCAATGATTTTAGCGACATTATTCACCGGAATTGTTTCAAATTTCGTATTTGAAGTTCGTAATGGGTACTACAACCCATGACGGAAAATTGTCTGTGCAGGTCCCCGTCTTCGTATAGCCCCCATATAACTGTACCCCCCATTATTCGGTATTTTAATGATTTTAGCTACATTTTTCAATGGAATAGTTTTCAAATCCACAAAAGGAGTTCCTTCTGAGTACTTTACCCCCTGGAAGAGAAATGTCCATATAGGTCCACGTCTTCGTATAGCCCCCATATAACGATACCTCCCGATATTCGGTATATTGATAATTTTAGCGACATTATTCACCGGAATTGTTTCAAATTTGGTATTTGAAGTTCGTAATGGCCACTACAACCTATGAAGGAAAATTGTCTGTGCAGGTCCACGTCTTCGTATAGCCCCCATATAACGTTAACTCCCGATATTCAGTATTTTAATGATTTTAGCCACATTTTTCAGCGGGATTGTTTCAAATTTTGCATTTGAAGTTCGTAATGGATATTAAAGCCTATGACAGAAAATTGTCTGTGCAGGTCTACGTCTTCGTATAGCGCCCATATAACGATACCTCCCGATATTCGGTATTTCAATGATTTTAGCGACATTATTCACCGGAATTGTTTCAAATTTCGTATTTGATGTTCGTAATGGGTACTACAACCCATGACGGAAAATTGTCTGTGCAGGTCCCCGTCTTCGTATAGCCCCCATGTAACCGTACCACCCGCTATTCGGTATTTTGATAATTTTGGCTACTTTATTCACCGGAATTGTTTCAAATTTGGTATTTGAGGTTGAAATGGATATTACAGCCCAAGACAGAAAATTGTCTGTGCAAGTCTACGTCTTCGAATCGCCGCCATATAACGTTGCCTCCTGATATTCGGTATTTTGATAATTTTAGCGAAATTATTCACCGGCATTGTTTCAAATTTCGCATTTAAAGTTCGGAATCATTACTACAGCCTATGCACTTACTCGTATAACCCCCACATAAAGGTTGTCATCTGGGCTGTATTTTTGATATATTTTTTTATTTATTAATTAATTTTTTTTTTTTTAATTTTGTTAGTTCCTTCCGAATGGTGGAGAGCATAAAATTTCGGCCCGACCGAAATTAGTTTCTTTTTTTATTTGTTAAAAATATTTAATACCTTAAACTTTAAGTTTGTTTTATTAACATGTGTAAATATTTAAATGATTTATAAAAAATTGTTTTATTAAATAATTAATTAAATTAAAAAAATATATAATTTTTTTAACATTAAAAAATGCATTTTTTCTAATTTCCCTTCAATGCCCCTTTTGTTTACTATGTTTCGTTTGCGTTCGGAAACTCTTCGCGAAGCCCTTAATCAATAAAACCACAAAGTAAACAAAACACGACAATATAAACGCAATTCCACCATACAAAATCAGCATAGCATCGATATTATGATATTCGATGAAACTTAAATCCAAACCCGCACAATGCATATATCTCGCGCCATTCTGGCGTACCACATGTTCCACCCAATAGATGGCCTTTTCCATGGGTAGCATTTCTTGGTCACGATATCTGTCGGAAATTTCATTGATCCTCTGCTGGAATGACGAGTTACTTAAAATTCTATTCAAAGCCTGCATTAGTTTATCTGCCGTCCAGGTTTGATAGTCCAACACCAGACCATAACCCTCCTTCTCGGCATTGGCCATATTCAGGAATTGATCACCAAAAATCGGTGTGCCAATGACAGGGGTGCGAAAATAAATACTCTCCGTGGTACTCAAGAGGCCGCCATGGGTTATGAACACCTTAACCTTTTCATGGGCCAAAATATCATCCTGGTGAAACCAATCTCGTATGAGTACATTATCAGGTTTGCCCTCCAATATGGGGTCTTCGAATTTCCACAAAACCCTTTGTTTGAGATTCCTGAATGCCTTGAGTATTTCATCTCTTTTGGCCTGGGGCATGTTTTTACTCTTCAAATTGGAACCCATGGAAAAGTAGATAACACCATGTTCCGATTCATTGATGAATTTGGCAATATCCTCCGGCAAAGGTTTCGGTTTCCTATTGATGTGCATGCCACCCACCTCAATTTGATTCGGCACTTAGGGTCGGGCAAAGGCCAACGAGACATGGGTGTTCAACAAAACCAAGGCGGCGTTGCGCCTCACCTCATACATGTCCCGCTTGGCATGAGGAAAGTATTTCTTATACAATGCCGCCTGCCGAGGCAAATAATATAAATCCATAATGAGACGATCGTATGTGACAAAGGCCAAGTTGCCAATACGTTCCTTGAGGCTCATGTGATTGGTGTATTTCATGCCAGTGCCAGGCACATACGAAGGCGGTGATGGGGAGCCAACCTATGGGAGAAAGAACAATCAAGTCATTATGGTTGCTTACAAATCTGCCAGGCAATAATTCACCATATCCGTATTCCAGGTGGCCGCCCCAAAGGCCCCCATGCCAATGAGGGGTGCATTGAAGTGCTCACTGAATCCATACAGGGCTTCGGATAAGAAAACCTCACAAATCACCGCATCAAAGGTGTGATTACTGGCCATCAACTTTCGGACGCTTGGCTCCGTCAATATTATCTCCGTCAAATTAAGGCCCGTTTTATAATATTTGATAATATTTTCCGCCATGCTTCTGTCATTGTGGGAAAATAAATTATTAATGGCACCTGGAATGGGAATGGATCAGAAGACAGAGGAAATAATGTCGGAAATAGCATCAAATGTCGGAATGTCCAAGGTCTGCGCCCAAAATGTTTGCGTGCCCAAAACTTTAATACACCCTTGATAATATTTTCGGAATAATATCCGGCATTAGTTCTGATGCCACAGTCCATTAATACGAGCGGAGAGCGATCAACGGCTGTTATGGCGGCCCACGCCATTACCATGGCCGGCGCTTCAATTCTGATGGCCAACAGATGATGCACATTTTGTTTGTTTACGAACAGCTGGACAACGAATGTTTTCTCATCGGAGAACACCAAATTCGGCAATTCACCACTTTCGGTCAAGCGAAGCAACTCTTTTTTTTTTAAGTCTATTTTCTTTATGTTGCGGTGTAAGTTCTTGCATTTTTTGGAATTTCAATGGCTTTACCCCGAGCTCATTTTTCATAATTTGCCGGATGGGACATTGCGATATGTTCCGCTCTCAAGCCATTTTTCGGCCACTGCGACGCGGGTTTCGGTCAAGTCGATTCATTTCTTTTCGAACCATATCTGGTGATGTTGCTGTTTTTTTTTTTCGTCCACTTCCTTGACGTGGGGCTACGCTACCAGTATCACGGTAATGAGCGATGGCGCGATACACAAAAGATTTATTCACATTTAAATACTGGAGTGCTCTAACGATAACCAGCCAAATATATGGAGAAATGAAACTATCACGCTTGAATTCTATCACGAATAACTTTACTGGAATAATTTTAACAGCTGTCGGACGAGTGGCTTAGAAGTGACAGCAGTCTGAAGTTGGTTGCAGTTTTTTCATCTCACCCTGTAGGTCCACTGCTTCTGCTCACCTCCCCCATATAGGGTTCACATTTTGAATATCCATGAAATTCCGATTTCGATTCCATTCAGACTTGGCACATCTCAATATTTCCATCAACACAAGATCTGTTATAAAGATGCGGAACATTCCTTCCGGTACATCCCCCACAAAGGGTCAACGTTTTGAATAACTAAAACGAGCCCAAAAAAGGACCCGGTTCTCTTCATATTTCACACATACCATTATATCTTCTAACACAAAATGTGCTGTGAGGATAGGATATATAGGGTCACTTCTTCTGGTACCTCCCCCACAAAGCGTCAAAATCATAAAAAAATTTGAATATCATAACTTCCGATTCCATTCAGACCAAGTCCCAATATTTCTATCAATACAAGATCTTTTACAAAGATGGTAGAGATCGGAACATACCTTCTGGTACCTCCCCCACAAAGGATCAACATTTTGAATATCAATGGCGCTCATAAAACGCGAAATTAACATATTTTATAAATAACCAGATCTGTAATAAAGATGGTCGATATTGGACCATTTCTTCTGGTACCTCCCCCACATAGGGCTAAAGATTTTGAAAGACAGAACATTCAACTCTCTTCAAATTTCACACATATAATCATTTTTTTCTGAAGATGATATATATCTGAGAACCTCTTATGGTTCCCCACCCACAAAACGTCACAATTTTCAATTAATGAAGTGTGAAATAAAATTGAATGTTCCGACTATATCTGGCAACACACTCACATTTTAAAGTGAAGAAAGTGATCAATATAGCCCAAACCTGGCACTTCGCAATATTTATGTCCTACTTATTTAGGGCCGATACGAAATGAACATAATTGACCCATTTCTTCCGAATCTACTCCATAGAGGATCAACAAATTGGAATAGTCAAAACAGAAGACAAAATATATTTAAATAATCGAGCCTTGTCTTAAGGTATACATCTGTCGGGTAAACCGGCTGATACATTTTAACTTGTTATATTTCCTTTCCTATGGTGATATCTTTTCGAACTTCACTGCCAGGGACGACAGCGTTCTAATAATTTCAAAATTTCATCATTTTTTCCCACCTGCATTTTTGATACTGAACGATATGATCAAAAGATAATATTTATTGTTCACCACCCCCCGGTCATTGTAAAATCCGGTGGAAATTAATGCCTATTTTATCAGTCATTGATAACAACCTGTCTGGGAATAATGTGTTTGTTTCCACACGAGCCTTTGGCTTGTGAATTACTCATAATTATACCTTATATACCCTATGTGTTTCGAATAAAGAGATTATACAGCACTTGTTATGGCCAAAACGTGCCTCATGGCAATAAAGGTTTTAGACCCTAGGTGTTTTTTTGTTGACGAAATCTGTTCCCCAAAAAATTTTCAAAGCAAATAATTTATGTCAGAGAAAGAGAAGGCTCTTTACATTTGGTTCCAACTTTGGAAATCTTAATATTTGTATCTGCCCAAAACATGTCTCATCAATATAAGGGTTGAGATCCTAGGTCTTTTCGGCCAAAATTTGTTTCAAGATATATGGAGTCGATCTATGGGTGTCTGCCCGTCCATCCATCTGTCCTTGGTTAGCTACCCAAGGGAAAAATCGATTTGATCCAAAATTGGTATACCCTAACATTATTATAAAACATAGATCGAGTTGTCCATTCCTTCTGGTACCTCCTGCAGAAAATTTCAAAATTTTTGTAGAAAATAATTTACTTCATAGAACAAGAAAAAATAGCCCAATTTGGAGCATACTTTGAAAAATCCCTAGATTTTCTATCAGTGCTATGTCAGGTGAAAATATTGACAATATCGGTCCACTTCATCATGTACCTCCCTCACAAAGGGTCAATATTTGGAGTAATTATAACTCTTATAAATTGTTATTGCCTCCAAATTACACAGATCACAATTTTTTTTAATAACCCAATGTCTAGTGTTATTTTAGAATATATCGGTCGACTCCCTCTGGCACCTCCCCCACAAAGGGTCAAAATTTGGAATATTTATAACTTTTATCAAATGGGAAATAAGCATCCGATTCTTTTCACACATTCCAATATTTTTTAACGAAATCTGGATCAGGTGTGAAGATGGGATATATCTGTCCAATCTTTCTGGTACCTTCCCCACAAAGGGTCAAAATTTTGAATAATTGTTTCTCTTATAATTTTCGAAAAAAAACCTCCGATTTCCTTTAAACATTCACAAATCTCGATATTTTTATTAATACAAGATCTGGTGCGAAGATGTGATATATCGGACCACTCCTTCTGGTACCTCATCCACGAAGGGTCAAAAATTTTAATGATTATAACTCTCATAAAATGTGATATAAGAGCCTCTTATAATTTTCGAAATAAACCTCCGATTTCCTTTAAACATTCACACATCCCAACATTTTTGTTAACACAAGATCTGGTGCGAAGATGGGATATATCGGACCACTTCTACTGGTACCTCACCCACAAAGGGTCAAAAATTGGAATGATTATAACTCTCATAAAATGTGAAATAAGAGCCTGATTTTTTTTCAAATTTAACACATCCTAATATTGTTACGAGCCCAAGATCTGCTGTGAAGATGGAATATATCGGATTA